CCGGCCTTCCGGCCCACCTCCAGTGCTGCCCCAGGGCAGCCAGGCAGCCCCAAACGTCACCTCACCGCAGCATTGGGCAGCCCCAAACGTCACCTCACGGCGGCGTTGGGCAGCCTGGGGCAGGGGGGATGCAGGGGACCAGTGCAGCCCCGCTCTGCTGCCGGCCCAGCGACACGCGGCGCATCGGTCTGCAAGGCAAAGGGCCAAGGGGAGAGGAGGGAGCGTTGTCCACGGAGGAGGTTCCCAAGGACAGAGTTTCCGTTGAGCTCCACGATGCCAAAATGTCACAGTCTGTGCTGTTTACCTTCTAGTCTTTAACTTTGCCAAATGAGCTACTGTTGCTTTGAACAGTCCAAGGAAACGTTGGGCTGTGTCAGCGGAAACGAATGCTCCCAGCGCAGTCTCTGCTGGGTGTGCGTTTGCGCTGGGGATCCAAGAGTTTTGGGAGAAGAATTGAGGAATCTGGGAGCGCGGGGGTAATGCTCTTCTCCACACACCAAATGTTTGCTACTTGGCCTTTGCAAATCCAAACTGAATGACAATGTGCCTTTCGGACTGTCCTTATCTCAGCCTTGTCTGCGACACCGGTCCCACGACAGGTTTGTGCCTATGCAAAGCGGGGGGTGGGGGGGGTCACAGGGTCTTGGGGACAGCTGTGACATCGATGGGGAGAGGAGCCCCGGTCCCCAGGACACGCAGCCGTCGCATGGAGCCCTGCCGCAGGACTGAGGGCAGCTGAGGGATGCTCACGGAGCGGGAGCCGGCCCCGGCAGGGATGCTCTTTCTTAGAGCAATAGGATGCGGGGGCTGGTGTCCCCGAGCGGGGAAAAAAAGCATCTGAGAAGGGGTCGGGCACCAAGTGTCCACAGAGGGTGCAGGAGACGAACTGCGACAGTGGGTGCTGTGCTCGCTGCACGCCGGCTCCGAGACGGCTGTTTGCTCCAAAGCCCCCTCAAAGCTCACCAGCGTTTCTCCGTGGGGGGCTTGCTCCTGCCTCCTGGCCGGGCGGGGGGTCGCTGGGCCCAGGCGCACACCCCGGGGAGCGCGTATCCCCACGGCGAGCGGCTTTCCTCCATCGCCCACCCTTCCCAGGCGGGTCCCCTCCCAGTAGCAGCAGGACTCTGCTGTCACCACTTGCTATTGTGCCTTTTGCTCACCAGCTGGTTCGATTCCAAAGCTCTAAGGATGGTTAAATGATAATCCAGAAATTTTTTTGACCTTCATCTCCTCCTGCGCTCCTTCCCCAGCCCCTTCCTGACCTCCTGTTTCAGGCTCGGCTCTCCCAGCAGCGCTGGGGCATCTGAGCGGAGGGTTCCTGTTGGAGTTTGCCTCTCAAAGGCACATTATGTGAGTGATTTACTGTAATCTTTTGTGGACAGGGGTTGAAAGCCGGTGCAGACCCTGTTTACCAGTCAGTACCATTAGTATTCAAGGTCTACCTTTTTTTTTCTTTTTTTTTTTTTTTTTTTTTAAGTTTGCTGCTATGGGTTGGAGTGTTCAGCCGTGTGTCAAACAGCCAATTAAAGGTTTGTCACTTGTCATTTTCTAAGGGGTTTCCGATGTGGAAAGTCCTGCAGTATTTGTATATTGAATGGATATTTTCTCCAGGCATAATCTGGTTAAGCATACTTGTTGTTTTCCATTGGACTGGAAGAGGTGGCCAATTCAGCCATCTTCCCTAGAAACTTAGTCTATTTTTATATATATATTTTGTACCAAAAAAACTGGAGCTCGTGCAGGGATGGGGATGGTTTGAGGTTTGGTTTGCGCTGAGTTTCTGAGCTGGGTGAGAAGGGCTCCAGAGCCGGAGAGAAGGTTTTTACTGAAAGAAATTGAGGGATGGGTGAAAACAAACAATTGTTCTTGTAACTTGTGCCAGTCACTGGTCTGATTTGTATGTTTTAATTAAAGAGAGAGCCAAATCGTTCCTGTATGACACTTATAATTGCTTTAAACTACAGCTGTTTGTTTGCTTTTATTTTCAGAGAACAAAAGTTGGAGATGTTATTACCCTGGGAAAGCGTAAGGGCTTTGTCGAGCGGGACAGGCGCCCGGCCTGCCGAGCGCCGGGGGGCTGGGGGGCTGCTCTCCGCTCCCCCCTCGGCCTCCGGTCGCCTCCCGGCCCCGCGCCGTGCGTGCTGTGTGTTTTCTAGTGCTTCGGGACACTAACGCTAGTGTAGACCCACGACCTCTAGGCTGCTTTTAATTTATTTGCAGGAAAACACTAGGAGATGGTTCCGTCGGGTGGGGTTTTTTGTATAACTTTTCCAGTGCTCTTTTTTAGCATATCAATAAATATTTTTTTAAACTTTTCAGCCTGGCGTGGTTACTGCTGAGGGACCCCCATCCCTGTGAGCCCTGCATGGGCCCAGTGTGTCCCCTCCCCGGGGCACTGTATTCCCGCTGCAGCAGGGCCACCGGGATGGGGCTGGGCAACCAACCCCCCCACCCCCCCCCCGGGGGCCGGGGCAGACGC